TTCAATTTAAATCAAGTTTTAAAAGTTTTCTTTGAGTCCTTTGTTACAATTATTGAGTCACATCCGGTTTGGGGAATTCTACATGAATTGATTGATTGATTGAGTTCATTGATTGTTTCTAGAAGCAATTGTTGAAAGAATTGAGTGGTAAAAGGCAGAGAGGTTAGCTTAATAGAGGGTAAAAGTCTTGTGTGTGCTCCGAGTGACTTTTGGTGAGGCAGTAAAATAAAATATTAGTGTTAAAATGTCAGAAAGGGCAGAATCAAACTCAAGCCGACAAGGCAATAATAGCAATGTATCGGAGGATTTAGTGCAAAGGTTTGAGAGGGCGTTTGGAGATGTGAGAGATAGGTTGGAGAAGCAGGAGGCTTTGATGAATAGATTAGATACATCGGTGGCTAATCTTAGTCGGGAGATCGAGTGGATGTATCCAATGCCAGAGGACCGGATAGATGGGAGCCTAGGAGGGAAAGGCGAGAGGAGTATGGATATGGGAGTGACATGGGCGAAGATGAATTTCACGGTGTTGAGATGGGAAGGATGAGAAATAGAGGCGATAGGTTCGACGGACGGGGTCGGAATGATCGTGGGGAAGAGTTGGATAGAAATTTGGGGAATATAAAAATGACAGTTCCTTCATTCAAAGGAATGAGTGATCCCGAGGCATACTTGGAGTGGGAAAGGAAGGTTGAAATGATCTTCGAGTGTTATAACTACTCGGAGGAGAAAAGGGTGAAGTTAGCAGTTTTGGAGTTCAGTGACTATGCAATTTCATGGTGGGATCAAGTGATTATTTCACAACGTAGGAGTGGGGGAAGACCAATCAGTACTTGGGAGGAATTGAAGTCATTGATGAGAAATAGATTTGTTCCTAGCCACTATTACCAAGAGATCCATCAAAAACTGCAAGGTTTATATCAAGGGTCGAAAAGTGTAGAGGACTATCATAAGGAGATGGAAATACTCATGATTAGGGCCAATGTGGTGGAGGATCGAGAGGCTACCATGGCACGATTCTTGAATGGGTTGAATAGGAAAATTACCAATGTAGTGGATTTGCAACATTATGTGGAGTTGGAAGACATGTTGCATGTGGCTATG